CTATACTAAAAAAAGAAAAATTAGATGGACATGGTGGCACGCATGTAGTCCCGGCTACTCAGGAGGCTGATGCAGGAGGATCGCTTGAGCCCAAGAGTTGCAGGTTGCTGTGAACTACGATGACACCACTGCACTCTACCTGGGGCGACAGAGCAAGACTCTGTCTCAACATAAAAACCAAAAAAAACCTCATTTATTCCATCCTAGGAAGGACACTGTTCATACATACTGTAGGAAGGGTGGGCAGGGCAGAGATTTGACTTTGTTTTCCAGGAAACAAACAATGGAGTCATCACCCACGCTCTGCAGAGCTGTGGAAAAACTGAAAGTTCTGAAGGCCAATGGCATATCCAAGGGAAGCAAGGACAGAAAAATCAAAAACATCTGTCCCCAAGATGCCTTTTACACAATGAGGCTGGGCGTCATCACAGAGTGCAAAGCAAAGGTCATCCACAGAGATGGTGATGGGGTTATACCTGGGTTTTATTTTTTCCTAAATTTTTTTTATCTCTTCCTGATTTTGTACAATGTTCATGAGTTAGTTTCATAACTAGAATAAAATCTTAAATGTGGACTTGTATTACAAATGTGTTACCTGGGTAGGGAGACCCCTCAGTCAGTATCAGCAAAGAGTATAAGGACCTAAAGGTGTTGGACGTAGGACAGATAAGTTTTGATAGGAGAGGAGGAGATCTATAATACAAAGATCTGGAATATACCATCCTTTCTGGAGAAAGAAACTGGAAGAAGTAGGAGAGTTCTGGATACCCTAGATTCAAGATTTTTGATAATGATTTTGAGAAAGAAAGAGGAAGGGGAGAGAGAGAGGAAGAAAGAAAGAGACTAGGCAGGGCGGGGCGGGGCAAAAGGAATGAATAATCCTAAATCTACACATATGTTTAAGCCATGGAAAACTCTGGGGATCCCAGGCTTGGGATCAAAAGAAAAGGAATACCCAAAGTTACCATCTGTAAAGAGGTCCTTGGTTAAATTAAGGGAAGAACCAGCTTTGTAGTCCAAGCCGTTTGCATAGCTATAAGGATAACACCATCCCCATCTCCTGCTCCTCGCAAGGGGCTGATCCTGCAACCTCCAATTCATGGGTGCCTTTGCCTTCTTCCTTCCAAGTCAGTTCAGCCAATAAGAGGCACCAGCAGGAAATTGGAGTCTTGAGAGCTAGGAAGAAGCCAGGGTATTTCTCCGTCTCTCTCATTCAGCTTGTGGTGGCACCTCCAACAGAAACTGTGCCCCTTCCATGAGTCCAGTTTGCGCCAGGTGGCCCCATCCCAGGGCTTCTGACAGCCACCTCTTCCCTTAGTCCCTTCAGCCCTGGAGGTGGCAGAGGCTTCCTCCTTTTGCTAATCTCTAGCTTGCATTGCCATTTTCTATGTGGCTTTTCTGATCTGCCAACACTTTTGTAACCATCCCCCTTATTAAATTCCCTCTATCGAACTACCTGGCATGAGCTCTGATTTCTTGCCTAGACCCCGCCTGATACAGTGTGTTAAAATAAACTATTAACTTCCATCATTCCAGACTCTTACCTGACTCCATTTAAATCAGCAATTAGACATTTATGTTTTGCCTACCTTGAGAGAATTATTCAAAATTGCTTTATAAACATGAGCAACACTATTATTTTATTAAAATTAATATATGTGAAGTATAGAAAATTAAGAAAAACAGATAAGCAAAGCAAAAAATTATTTAATTGTCTATAATTCAAACACCCTGAGCTAATATCCCTATTAACAATTTGTTGTATTTACTTCCAGCTAATTATATTATTATAGATATATCCATATTTTAAGACATAATTTGTGTTAAATATAAATTTCTAGAAATTTCTATAGATTTTATATATATAAATCTTAAAACCTCCCTATGATCTAATATCTTTACATTTTTTTAAATGCCTTTTCACTCAAAATTACTATTTCATTACCACCTTTCCATGTGAGTAAATAAACATTTGTAGCAACATTAAGTGGTAGCACCAATACTCAAATGCATCCTTTGCCACTGTCTGAACTGACCATAATATATTCCCCCAATGCCTATTGCTGGACATTTAGGCTTTTTTAACTATTATTCACACTGCTGTTACAGACATCCTCATGGATAAATCTTTTCATCCTTGCCACATAATTTTCTTGGCTAGAAGTGGAATTGCTAGGGCAAGAAGATAAGTATTTTTAAGGTTTGCCGTATGTATGTCTAAATTGCCCTCTAGAAAGGTTGTAGTGAGAGTGATTTTTTTAATGCTTTATAAACTTTTTATTGTATTAATATCAGATGATGTTTACAAAAGTCCTAATAACTAGTTATTACTGCTGGCTTATTTTCATTGTAATTAAATAAAATTGTAATTATAAAACAAAATTATATTTATATTATAATTATATTTATATTTATGACATTTATGCTATAATTATACAATTATAATTTAACAAAAATGGTGTCCTGAGAATCCACTGAAATGCTGGCATAGCTGTGGGGCTTGGAAGATGCATCTTGCCCTGCTAAAGTATTGTGTCAAGTTGAAGACACAACTTTGGCTTTGCCACCGTAAGTTGTTCAGCACTAAACCCAGCCAGTTCAAATTCACTCTTACAAAATGACGTGAATCCTTAGTACATGGGGCAACTATCATTACATGACATTTGAAGAGAAAAGGCTGGAAAGTTGGACCTTATCATAGTTGTTTCATGAGGGAGGTGAAATTTAAGATGTTTAAGAGAGTGATATATACATGACTGTGTCTTCAAACAGGGTTTCAATCATGTATTTTTTAATTATCTGGCAGGAAAATATTTGTATGCTTATTTAGCCTTTGTTCATAAATATTTAGTTCACAACATCTTTTAGGAAAGGTATTGGTCCTGTAAGAAAGATATAATGAGGTACTAAAAAAAAAATAGTAGGATTAGAAAGAGAGGCAACCTCAATTTCAAATATTTGATCTCAGCAGGGCCAATCTCATTGTTTTTACTGCAAAATGCACCAGAATGGGGGGTCATCTGATCTTGATCTCTCGAAAGGGGTGGCGAGAGGGGAAGAAGGACTGCTGAAGTTAAGTCTCAATTTCTTGCCTGCCTTGGCACTCTCAAGAGAGGGACACAGGGCCGGGCGCAGTGGCTCATGCCTGTAATCCTAGCACTCTGGGAGGCTGAGGTGGGCGGATTGCTCAAGGTCAGGTGTTCGAAACCACCCTGAGCAAGAGCGAGACCCCGTCTCTACTATAAATAGAAACAAATTAATTGGCCAACTAATATATATAGAAAAAATTAGCCGGGCATGGTGGCGCATGCCTGTAGTCCCAGCTACTCGGAAGGCTGAGGCAGGAGGATTGCTTGAGCCCAGGAGTTTGAGGTTGCTGTGAGCTAGGCTGATGCCATGGCACTCACTCTAGCCTGGGCAACAAAGCGAGACTCTGTCTCAAAAAAAAAAAAAAAAGAGAGGGACACATTTCAGATAGAATATTGTGGCTGCAAACAACAAAAAAACTAATTTAAGCTGTTTTTAATAATAAAGGAAATGTTCATGAAAAGTTCAGATTCTAGTGAAGCTTGGTCAGTTGCACAAGGCACCATGGGACAAGTTTTTCTCTGAGTCTTCTCTCTGCCCTTTCCCCACATCTTCTTAGCCCAAGGCTGACTCCCCTCATGGGCACAAAATGGCTGCCAGCAACTCTTAGGGAACGTCTGCTTCTCCATTCAAAGTCATCAGAAAAGAGAACATCTCTGCCTATGATTCCTAGAAGATCTAGGAATCATGCTTCCCAGAAGCCCCTGGAAAATGTTTGTATCCTATTTGCCCAAACTGGGTCACATGACTATCCCTGAACCAGTCTCAGTGACAGGGGATTGGCTGTGCTGTTTGGCTTCGGTCGTTCAGGACCACCCCTGTTGCTGGTGCCATCAGTATCCCCCAAGGTACAAGTGCTGAGCAGAGAGAGGCAAAAGGTTTAACCAGGGAACTGGTACGAAGTGGGAGGGTGACAAGAGGCTGGGTGTGTGAGAAAAGCAAATGTCCATCATACAAAAGTTTGAGAAAGTACTCCTGGGGTTCCTTACCTGCCTTCTCAGAGACCTGCCTCCCCACCCACTTCACCCATCCCTCCAGAGGAAAGCTGATGCGTCTGCTATCAGTTTTCAGCCAAGGAGCCAGGCGTGGTGGCTTACACCTATAATCCCAGAACTTTGGGAGGCCAATGCAGGAGGATTGCTAATTTCAAGGCAAGATAACCCAGATAATATTCTGATTATGGTTATAGTCTCCTTACTAGGGCCTGATAAAAATGGCTTTTATATTAAAATGTAGTTAAATTAACTATCTTTAATAGTTGAGTTGACCTGGTATCAACCTCTAAGTAATGTGAGGTTTCCTCTATGTCTGGTTAAGGCAAATGGCCAAAGGAAAGGGAAAGAAAAACCCATGAAAAATTATCTGCATGATTCAGTGGTAAAATCTTGTTGTTGGGAAAGGAATGGGGAAAAAGTAAATTTGTATTTTTATATTGATCAGATTCAGCTCTCCAAATCAGCTGCCAATGTCACCAATAATAATTATTTTTAATGCTTACTATTTTTTACTTTAATCCTACTAATAGTAGCTTCCATTTATCAAACGCTTGCTATGAATGAGGAATTTGGCAGTTAATTTAATCTTCACAACTGAGTAGGAGTTATTCTTCCATTCTAGTGGAGAAATTGAGGCTCAGAGAGGTTGAGGAATTTGTTCAAGGTCACACAGCTAGCTGGTCACCAGGCAGAAGAACCAGAATCAGAGCTCAGGTCCACCTGTCTCCAAAGCCCTTGCTATGTCCACCACATCACACGGCCCCCTCTTTTGTTGTTGAGGTGGACTCTGTGCTGCCCAGGATCCCAGACCTGGCTGGACATCTCAGGTGAACACATGAGCCTCCTGTAGCCTGGCTCCATTTGTAACAGTTGCAGTGACACTCCTTTTTTTTTTTTTTTTTTTTTTTGTCTTCTCAGCATGTACCTGACAAGCCACTGAAGAGCATCAAGTATATGAACAAGGAAATAGTAAACCTCAAAAAAGACCTTGTACGAAGCCGGTGAGTGAGCCCAGCAGGGAATGACCCATAGACAATGGGATGAGCAGACTATGGGATGGTGCCTACAAGTTCTTTCCAAGTCCCAGTGTCCCCCAACCCTAAACTTCAAGCAGAAGAGTAACAGGAGGGTAACCTGGTAAGGGGCAGAGGACAGGATCCTTTCTTGGCTGGACTTTCCAGGGAGTACCTGTGGTGGCCCTTCCTCCACACTCTTGCCAGCCTCTAGCCTAGAATTCTCTCTGCTTTCCTTCCTGGACCTGAATCCAACTTGAGAGAGTCCCCACCTGCTCCAGAAAGCTTTCCCTTTTTACTCCAGGCCCACACAACGGCATTGGAGAGTCAGATACACGCATTCATTCTCATATACTGGGCCTGTTATCCTCCAGGTGACCCCAAAGGAGTTATTTAAACTCTCCAGGTCTCTGTTTCCTTGTCTGTAAAATGAGAATAATATGAGGTTGTTAGAAGAGCCGAGAGAAATGATGCATATAAAATGCCCCTCATGTGGCCTTGAACCCTACTCAAGCGCCTTTCCTATCTCCCCCCCCCCCTCCATTCCTTTGCTTTCTGCTGGTTGGAACAAATCAGGGACCATATTTTTGTTATTTGCCATCTGTGTGGTCAGATGGGATTTTTTTCCCTTCACCCCTTAACTCCTTCCTGGGACCTGGAACATTCCAAAATGAGGCTTTCGACAAAACAACTGAAAGCAGAGTATGAGATAGAGACTCTTTCGGCACAAAACGCACAAGGGATGTGCTGAGAGGAGTCTTCTAGACAGCCCGGAAGGTCTGTTTATCTTGCACGTCTCCCACTCTGAGCCAGACCACAGGGAGAGGCAGAGTGAGTGTCTCCCTCCCTCCAGTTCCGTCATCGGAAAGCTCCCGATGCCCACTGCCACTGGGATCTCCACCCTGCCCTGTCCTGCAGCACCGCTTGGGGGAACAGATGACTGAACCAGAGAGGAGGCGTGGAAGGCGGGGAGGAGGAAAGGAGTTAGATGGCCCAAGGATGGGGTCGAGAGAGGGCCGCAGAGGGCGATATCCCCACCGACTGCAAGGGGTGGCTGGGTCAGCTATCGGCGGGTCTCTGGACAGACATTGTCCAGTGGAAACATAATACAAGCTTTGAATGTAATTTCAGCTTTAGTTTTTAGTGTAGCCACACTTGAAACAGTACAAAGAAACAGGTGAATGTAATTTTACTAATATGTTTTATTTAACTCAATATATCCAAAATATTGTCACTCAACGTATAATCCATATAAAAAAGTATTAATGGGATGCTTTACATTCTGTTTATCGTACATGATGAAAAATGATGAAATGATAAAAAAAATGAATGATGAAAGATTTGGGGTGTATTTTATACTTAGAGCACATATCAACATGAACCAACCACATTTCAAGTGCCCAGTGGTTGTTATGGGCTAAATTGTGCCCACCCACAAAAATCCAGATGTTGAATCCCTAACCCCCCATGTTTGGAGGTAGAGCCATTAAAGAAGTAGCTAAAGTTACATGAGGTCATAAGGTTGGGCTTGAAGTCAACCCGACTGGCGTCCCTATGAAAGGAGGAAGAGATGCCAGGCATGTGCACCCAGAGAAGAGTCCACGTGCGAACACAGCAAGGTGGCTGTCTGCAAGCCAAGGAGAGAGGCCTCTGGAGAAACCAACCCTGCTGGCGCCTTGATCTGGGGCTTCCAGCTTCCAGAACTACGAGAAAATTGATTTCTGGTGTTCAAGCCACCCAGTCTGTGGCGTTCTAATGGCTTCCCACCAAGCCAGTAGGAAAGAGGGGCTTGAGGAAAAGGTGGTAAAGGCAACGGCTTTTCTGCCACCTTTCTGTTGGCCAGCTGAGCCTGTCGCTCCTGATGGACACATTTACTAAAACAAGCTAAAAATATAGGATCCTCCCTGGAGAGGCTTGGCCTGTCCAATTGCTGGGCATGAAGGAGAATGTGGAAAAGGCCAGACAGAAAAGCCACATGCAAGAAAACAAGAGATGACAATAAAATGTTCCATCTGGCCACACTCCCGGATCCCACTGACATTTAAGGAATCCAATTCCCCTTCAGAAGGAAATACCCTGTTTTCCAAAGGAACTCGCCTTTCCAAGAAGTGCCAACCCCATGACTCCATCTCCCAGTATCAAATGAGGCAAATTATTAGCAAAGAAAATGTCTTTTCCACTCATGGTTTTTCTAAATGCATTTCACCTCCTATTAGAGTCTTATCCCACCTTGAGCCAAACACCTTGACTGTCTTCTGGATTTATATTTAATACTTCAGCCCTCTTATAACTCAATTGCACCTTCCCTGGCTGCATGGCCAATTTAACATGATGCTAAAAAGAATAAAACTGTAACTGCATTCTTCCTCGCCTGGTCCACCAGATGTTCAGTGTCACGAGCAGCACACTATGCATGAACTTGCTGAATTTCTCCTAGCGGAAGTTGACAATCAGGACCTCCCTGCATGTGCCCAGTTCCTGGTTGACTCTTAAAGCCAAAGACCTATTTTCCTCCATAGGTGCCAGCACTTCTTATTGCAAATGCTTTAAGGAAAATAAACATCTCTACAACTAAAACAACTGAAATATTGAGCGTGAAGCCATGATTTACCCATGTTAGGCAAAGGCGATCGCAAATAAACAGTGATTAATTACTCACCCACCCACCTCCCAGAGCAGACCCCGGATTCTGCAAGTGTTTACAAGGTCTGAGACTCTGCTTCCCAGCTGCATTTGGTTGACAACTGAAGCAAGGTAATTAGAAATTACAAAGGTGGAATTTTGAGCAAATGAAGAAGCTATTATTTTTTTTATGGGGTAATTCACTTCTTCTTGGTACTTCCTTAGGCCTCTGCAGTCATTCATTTTTTTTCCCAACAACTATTTATTCAGTATAAGGTATCACCAGGTGTACACCAGGTATATTGTTGTATATATTTGAGATGAAACAAACAGACAAGACTCCTGTCTTCAGTGCATAAGAGATGATGATGTGCATTATAAGGGGGTAATGACAACAAACACATTAGCCAGTGAATAGACAGAACGTGGGGGTGGGGATATAAAACAAGGTGATGTGGAGAGCGACAGTGGTGATGGGGAGGAAGTTGCTACTTTAGCTGGAGCGGTGAGGGAAGAGTGGTTTATGAAGGCGACCCTGGGCTCCATACCTGAATGGTGAGATAGAAGCATTCGCACAAAGATGTAGAGGGAGAGAGGTGGAGCATTTTCGACAACAACAGGTGAATGGATGCGAACGTCAGAGCAAGCTGGGAGTGCCAGAGGAACTGAGATGGCCTGTGCAGATGGAGCAGAGTGAGAGAGGATGAGAAAGGCAAGAGATTCAGTGGAAGAGCCAGGCAAGGGCTGGTTCGTACACTGCCTTATAGGCTGTGATGAAAAGTTTGGGTTTTCGTCTCAGTGCAATAAGAACCCATTGGAGCATTCAGGGCAAGAGAAGGATGTGATCTGACTTTTAAAAGAATATTCCATCTGCTGCATAAAGACTGGTTGGAAGGCTATGGTGAGAGTGACGATGGCTTGCGTCAGGACAATAGCAGTGAACTGGGGAGAAATGGATGGATTCAGGATTTGTCTGGAGGTGGTAGAGTCATGGGACTGGCTAATGGATTAGATGTGGGGACCAAGGGAAAAGGCCACATTGTGCATCCGCGTGCTGCAAGGACCTGTTTCCATCGCTGCCTCCCTCTCACAGCGCAGACTGTGCCACGTCTACTGTTATGGTCCTGAGCAAGTGTTTACTGATGGGATGAACTAATTTTCTTGTCCATCCCTAGAACTTACCAGTTTAAAATGAGGAGGAAGCCTTGTTATTAGCATAGTACGGGAAATGAGTAAGGGAGACAGTTTACAAATAAATCTGTGGATAAATCAGAAGATAAGGTAGCTGGTCCATTGCTTTAGGCCTTTCAGGTGAGCTTACTGACCTCTCCCTCTTCCACTGCCGTTCAAACAGGGTGTCTACCCTGACCTAGTGGTAACTGGCTTGTGGCTGGAAAGAGGAGGTCTTGCCGGGAAGGTTGCTGATTCATTTCTTAGAGAGAAATGAATACTTAGAGAGAAATGATACTCAAAGAAGTTTAGAGATTTACTTAAAGTCATTGTATCAATCAGCTATTGCTGCATAAAAAACCACTCCTCAAAAACTCAGTAACTTAAGACAATGAGAATTTCTTAGTGATTATGAGGCTGCGAATGATTCCACTGGGAGAGTTTCTGGTCTCAGTTGGGTTCCCTCCCTTGTGCATCTCTAATCAGCTGAGGGCTGGGTACATAGTTTTGCTGATCTTGGCTGGGCTCTCTCCTATGTTTGGATGTCCACTGGCTATAGGAAGGTCTACAATGGCCTTGGCCAGAACAACAGGGTCTCTCATTTGGAAGCAGGTTAGCCAGGGCTTGTTCTTGTGGAGGGGTCCTGGGAAAGAATAGCAAGTATGTGAGACCTCTTGAGTTTTAAACTAGAAACTGGCAAAACATCACTTCCACCACATTTTTGTGGCCAAAGCCAGTCACAAATCCAACCCAGATTAAAGGTGGTAGAATAGACTCCTCCTCTTGATGGGAAGAGCTACAAAGTCACATTGCACAGGAGTGGACATTTGGGGGCAATTTTTTCTATCTACCACAGTTCATACTGCTAATCCTGAGCTTGTCTTTGAGACATGAGCTAGTATCAAAAGATAATCTGTATAAATCAGAGTCTCACTCTTGGGAATGAAAAATGGAAAACATGTCAAGAATCAAGCAGGCCATGGTGGGAGTAAAGGCTGCAAAAGTCCAAGAGAGGGAGGTTAGAGGGGTCATGGGGAGCTGCATGGAAGCCAAAGGTGGAAGGGAACAATGACAGCTAGGTGTGGAGACTCACACCGGTAATCCCAGCACTTTGGGAGGCGGAGGTGGGAGGATCGCTTGAGGCCAGGAGTTTAAGATCAGCCTGGGCAGCAAAGCAAGACCCCATCTCTACAAAA